CTGAGGAACACACTGAGGGACACATTGAGGGACACACCCTGAGGGACACACTGAGAGACACTCTGAGAGACACACGGAGAGACACACTGAGGGACACACTGAGAGACACACTGAGGGACACACGGAGAGACACACTGAGGGACACTCTGAGAGACACACTCTGAGGGACACACAGAGGAACACTCTGAGGAACACACTGAGGGACACACTAAGGGACACACTGAGGGACAATCTGAGAGACACACTCTGAGGGACACACTGAGGGACAATCTGAGAGACACACTGAGGGACACACTGAGGGACAATCTGAGAGACACACACTGAGGGACACACAGAGGAACACTCTGAGGAACACACTGAGGGACACACTGAGGGACACACTGAGGGACACACCGAGGGACACACCGAGGGACACACCGAGGGACACACCGAGGGACACACTCTGAGGGACACACTCTGAGGGACACACCGAGGAACACTCTGAGGGACACACTGAGAGACACACTGAGGGACACACTGAGGGACACACTGAGGGACAATCTGAGGGACACACTGAGGGACACACTGAGGGACACACTGAGGGACACACTGAGGGACACTCTGAGGGACACTCTGAGGGACACACTGAGAGACACACTGAGAGACACACTGAGGGACACTCTGACTCTGAGGGACACACTGAGGGACACTCTGACTCTGAGGGACACACTGAGGGACACACTGAGGGACACACACTGAGGGACATACTGAGAGACACTCTGAGAGACACACTCTGAGGGACACTCTGAGAGACACACGGAGAGACACACTGAGGGACACACTCTGAGGGACACCCCGAGGAACACTCTGAGGGACACACTGAGGGACAATCTGAGAGACACACTGAGGGACACACTGAGGGACACTCTGAGGGACACTCTGAGGGACAATCTGAGAGACACACTCTGAGGGACACACTGAGGGACACACTGAGGGACACACAGAGGAACACTCTGAGGAACACACTGAGGGACACACTGAGGGACACACTGAGGAACACACTGAGGGACACACTGAGGGACACACTGAGGGACACACTCTGAGGGACACATTCTGAGGGACACACCGAGGAACACTCTGAGGGACACACTGAGAGACACACTGAGGGACAATCTGAGAGGCACACTGAGGGACACACCGAGGAACACTCTGAGGGACACACTGAGAGACACACTCTGAGGGACACACTGAGGGACACACTGAGGGACACACTGAGTGACAATCTGAGAGACACACTCTGAGGGACACACTGGGGGACACACTGAGGGACACACTGAGGGACACACTGAGGGACAATCTGAGAGACACACTCTGAGGGACACACTGAGGGACACACTGAGGGACACACTGAGGGACACACTGAGGGACACACAGAGGAACACTCTGAGGAACACACTGAGGGACACACAGAGGAACACACTGAGGGACACACTGAGGGACAATCTGAGAGACACACTCTGAGGGACACTCTGAGGGACACACGGAGAGACACACTGAGGGACACTCTGAGAGACACACTCTGAGGGACACTCTGAGAGACACACGGAGAGACACACTGAGGGACACTCTGAGGGACACTCTGAGAGACACACTCTGAGGGACACTCTGAGAGACACACTGAGGGACACTCTGAGAGACACACTCTGAGAGACACACTCTGAGGGACACACCGAGAGACACACAGAGGAACACTCTGAGGAACACACTGAGGGACACACTGAGGGACACACTGAGGGACACTCTGAGAGGGACACACTCTGAGGGACACACTCTGAGAGACACACGGAGAGACACACTGAGGGACACTCTGAGGGACACACTGAGGGACACACTGAGGGACACACTGAGAGACACTCTGAGAGACACACTCTGAGGGACACTCTGAGGGACACTCTGAGAGACACACGGAGAGACACACTGAGGGACACTCTGAGAGACACACGGAGAGACACTCTGAGAGACACACACTGAGGGACACACTGAGGGACACTCTGACTCTGAGGGACACACTGAGGGACACACTGAGGGACACACACTGAGGGACATACTGAGAGACACTCTGAGAGACACACTCTGAGGGACACTCTGAGAGACACACGGAGAGACACACTGAGGGACACACTCTGAGGGACACACCGAGGAACACTCTGAGGGACACACTGAGGGACAATCTGAGAGACACACTGAGGGACACACTGAGGGACACTCTGAGGGACACTCTGAGGGACAATCTGAGAGACACACTCTGAGGGACACACTGAGGGACACACTGAGGGACACACAGAGGAACACTCTGAGGAACACACTGAGGGACACACTGAGGGACACACTGAGGGACACACTGAGGGACACACTGAGGGACACACTCTGAGGGACACATTCTGAGGGACACACCGAGGAACACTCTGAGGGACACACTGAGGGACAATCTGAGAGGCACACTGAGGGACACACTGAGGGACACACCGAGGAACACTCTGAGGGACACACTGAAGGACACACTCTGAGGGACACACTGAGGGACACACTGAGGGACACACTGAGTGACAATCTGAGAGACACACTCTGAGGGACACACTGAGGGACACACTGAGGGACACACTGAGGGACACACTGAGGGACAATCTGAGAGACACACTCTGAGGGACACACTGAGGGACACACTGAGGGACACACTGAGGGACACACAGAGGAACACTCTGAGGAACACACTGAGGGACACACTGAGGGACACACAGAGGAACACACTGAGGGACACACTGAGGGACAATCTGAGAGACACACTCTGAGGGACACTCTGAGGGACACACGGAGAGACACACTGAGGGACACTCTGAGAGACACACTCTGAGGGACACTCTGAGAGACACACGGAGAGACACACTGAGGGACACTCTGAGGGACACTCTGAGAGACACACTCTGAGGGACACTCTGAGAGACACACTGAGGGACACTCTGAGAGACACACTCTGAGGGACACACCGAGAGACACACAGAGGAACACTCTGAGGAACACACTGCGGGACACACTGAGGGACACACTGAGGGACACTCTGAGAGGGACACACTCTGAGGGACACACTCTGAGAGACACACGGAGAGACACACTGAGGGAAACTCTGAGGGACACACTGAGGGACACACTGAGGGACACACTGAGAGACACTCTGAGAGACACACTCTGAGGGACACTCTGAGGGACACTCTGAGAGACACACGGAGAGACACACTGAGGGACACTCTGAGAGACACACTCTGAGGGACACTCTGAGAGACACACGGAGAGACACTCTGAGAGACACACTCTGAGGGACACTCTGAGGGACACACCGAGAGACACACCGAGGAACACTCTGAGGGACACACCGAGGAACACTCTGAGGGACACACTGAGGGACAATCTGAGAGACACACTGAGAGACACACTGAGAGACACACTGAGGGACACTCTGACTCTGAGGGACACACTGAGGGACACTCTGACTCTGAGGGACACACTGAGGAACACACTGAGGGACACACTGAGAGACACTCTGAGAGACACACTCTGAGAGACACTCTGAGAGACACACGGAGAGACACACTGAGGGACACACTGAGAGACACACTGAGAGACACACTGAGGGACACACTGAGGGACACACTGAGAGACACACTGAGAGACACACTGAGGGACACACTGAGGGACACTCTGAGAGACACACTCTGAGGGACACTCTGAGAGACACACGGAGAGACACACTGAGGGACACACTGAGAGACACACTGAGGGACACACTGAGGGACACTCTGAGAGACACACTCTGAGGGACACTCTGAGAGACACACGGAGAGACACACTGAGGGACACACTGAGAGACACACTGAGGGACACACTGAGGGACACTCTGACTCTGAGGGACACACTGAGGGACACACTGAGGGACACTCTGACTCTGAGGGACACACTGAGGAACACACTGAGGGACACTCTGAGGGACACACTGAGAGACACTCTGAGAGACACACTCTGAGGGACACTCTGAGAGACACACGGAGAGACACACTGAGGGACACACTGAGAGACACACTGAGGGACACACGGAGAGACACACTGAGGGACACTCTGAGAGACACACTGAGGGACACTCTGAGAGACACACTCTGAGGGACACTCTGAGGGACACACTCTGAGGGACACACAGAGGAACACTCTGAGGAACACACTGAGGGACACACTGAGGGACACACTGAGGGACAATCTGAGAGACACACACTGGAATACTAATTTAGTATTCCATAACTTCATGAATCATAACAGAGATGGTCAAACTGAAGTAGAGACATGGCAGAAATCCTACAATGAAGCGGGACAGTGAAGTGTTCTCCTGAGAGGGCGATCAAGAGAAGAGAGAGAGGGTGAGGGAGTTTACAGATGAAAAGACACAGAAAGACAGAAGCACAATAACAACTTGTACAACTTATACTTGTTATTAAGTATATTTAGCCTAGGTGTTTTTTTGTAAATAACAGACGGTGTCAAGAGGAATATAAGTCCCCTGGTTTGTCGCCTATACTCTAACTGCCATGAGAAAACTCAAAATTAATTTTCCAAAATCCGACACTAGAGGTGGTCTTTAACGCACCGGCAGATGACAGCGCTGACAAGGTGTGCCACAACTGAAAAAAAATAAAAATAAACTCTCGCTCTCTCCAGAGGGGCAGGTCAGGGTAAACAGGCCGTTGCCCGGGCAACAATAGTCCGTACCTGTGCACGTCCCTGCACACACACACACACACACACACACACACACACACACACACACACACACACACACACACACACACACACACACACACACACACACACACACACACACACACACACACACACACACACGCGCGCACACACACACACACACACACACACACACACACGCTCTCATTCATTTGCGTGCACAATACATGTCACACTTTCACTCGAACGCTGGTAGGCGCTGTTCGTCTTGTCCCTTTGTTAATAAAGTTATTTAAATTCAAACAAAATGGCAGCGCCCTATGATCAACCATACGTGTAGTTGGACTGAACCGAACATCAGTATAAAAAAAAGTAACGTGCTGCATTAAAATTCAGGTAAAGTAACCTAACGTATCTTTTGTTTGTCAGGCATGTTGTCGACTGTCATATTGTTAATGCTGTAATAATAACAGTAGCTGGTAAAACTTAAGAGAAATTATTTCTTAACTCTTGTTAAAATATTACATTGCACCATCAATAATCACAACTGAAACAATGCCATATTATTTAAAGGCAACATTATTATAATATTTGTATTGTTTATTATTGTTTGTACTAATATGTTTGATAAGAATCCCTAAAATATGGGCAGTAAAGATTTGTAACGAGGAAATTGTCAGTTGTTGTTGTTGTCGTAGGGACTTGTTATCATTACCATTCATACTTGGATTTACTGCTTTTTATTGATATTACAGTTTATTTTTATTTAATCTTAATGTTGTGTTCCTGTCAGTATTACAAACCAATTGCTATAAAAATAAAGATGATAATTTTTGGATTTGGTTAATTTATATTTGAAAACAAACTTATGGGTGCTCTCTGAAGGAAACACTATAGGCCTAAATGAGAAACTCTAAATATCTTTGGCATGTCTGGGATTTCTTATTACTGATATTGACGGGGTCTACCTGTAAAAGGGTTTCTTCATCACGTTTTTCTTGTCTTTATTTCAGAGGTATGGCTGCTGCTGGTAAGCCATCAAAAAAAGAAAGCAAGAAGTACATTCCGACCAAGACCTCCTTCACTTCACCATTCACTCCAAAATGGGGCCCACTCCCCCAAGAAGACATGCATTTTATCCTGAACACAGTGAAGGACAAGCTGGTTTCCATGGGCCTTGAGAAGAAAGAGGTGAAAGTGTTTCGCCCGTGGAGGAAAAAGAAAGACCTGAAACCTGCTGCCACACCAGAGCCTGTTCTCCAGGTCAGTGAGGTGCAGATGAAGGATGCTCCTAAAAACGGCTGGACAGATGTGGCAGCTAGGAGACAACTGGCCATCGGGGTCAACGAGGTCACCAAAGCTCTAGAGAGGAACGAGCTCAGACTGTTGCTTGTGTGTAAGTCCGTGAAGCCGAAACACATGACGGACCACCTGATCTCGCTGAGTGCAACGAGAGGTGTGCCGGCCTGCCAGGTGCCTCGTCTGAGCCAGAGCGTGTCAGAGCCGCTGGGCCTGAAGAGTGTCCTCGCTCTAGGATTCAGACATTGTGCCTCCAAAGATGACGAGGTGTTCACTGACACTGTTGAGGCCATTACACCCAGAGTGCCCTCCCTGGATGTGGCATGGCTACAAGGTGCATCACCCAGAGTAACATCTGTAGACCCTGTTGATATGGAGGAGGAGGAGAAGGAAGAAGATGGCCAGAAGAAGGGCCAAAAAAGGAAACTAGAGAGTGAAACTGTGGCGGTCACAGAGTCTACCTCCTCCTACACTCTGCAACCTCTCAAAGTAAAGAAAATAGTTGCCAACCCTGCAAAGAAAATAAAAAAGGCTATTCAGCGTAAAACAGACTCTGCCCAGATATAAAAAAGACCATTCCTGTGATTTTGCATGTTTAGTCTGAATTGTATCTTGGATTTTTAGCGGCCTGAAGAGTATAAGAAAATCTAGTATGTCACCTCCTGTGTGAATCTGGTGTTTCAGATCAATTGCTAAAACTAAAAATATTACTAGTTTTTGTTTTATTTTCCTGACATATTGGTCAGCCATAGGTTTATAATCATGTTTGCCAGGACTTGAAACTGGCTTGAGATAGTTGTGTAATTCATTACAAATAAAGAAGTTGACATGTGTTGGAATTAGCGACCCTGAGAAAAGTAAGGCTCTGTTGTGTTCCATTGAAATTAAAGTATCAATCGACCGGTTGCTGCATGGAGGGTCAGAAATGTCAAGTTATTTAGTTTATCATCTAACTGGCCTGCCGTTTACATGACTTAAAATCACTTCTTTAAAATGTTAGGAACTGGTATGACAAACCGATTTTTTTTGGGGTGACATCTCATTAGCCAGAAACGGGCATAACATAAGATGTTTCTGAATTAAACTGGGTGAGAATTATTAGTATGTTCTTTAGTAAATATGACAATATCTCAAACATTTCAGACCAAAATAAAGAAAATGTTTTTGGGCAGAGTCTATTTAATATTTCAAACAAAAGTGCATTACTCCTGTCCGTTTTTAAAGTGAGTTTATTCAATCAAATATCCATGCTGGTATAGCCGACTTGTGTTGAAACAGATTGTTATTGGCATGGGGATCATGTCTTAAATGATGCTGGTAAAGGTTCTTCAGCTTTTTCACAGCTTACAATGGATTTGAATAAAAAATATTGTTCTTCAGTTAAAGAAAGCTGTATGTCATTTCAAAAGTACCCCCCTACCCAGAATTCTTAATTTAAAAAACAAAACATCTTTAAATAAGGCAGGTACTTCGGGTTGAGTTCTCACTAAAGGGCGTAGCTAGTAACATCAACGCTAAAAATCACAGCAGCAAAACTGACATGCTCGAAGTTCATTCAAACAGCTGCAGGCGACACATCTGTGACACAACCAACTTAAATAAATGCCGATAACATCTGTCTTTGTCAACTCATTTAACCTTTCAATTGTTAAAAAAAACACATCTTTGAGCCCTGAAGCACTGACTGTCCATCGGTTGTCCCTTTCTTGCTAATATATAAAGCAATGAGAAAAGAGTTACATCACATACAGAAAGGGTAACCACAAAGATGGCAGCAGCCTTTACCTCTTGTGTTATGCAGAGCCACATGAACAGGAGCATCAAACACAAAGTAACAAACACAGAGCAAGACAATAAAACAAAAATAATGTTGTTAACCTTTGAGTACCACAGCAGCTCCGGCCCAGAACAAGTGCTCTATCCGTTTTTCATCAAAGATCTCCATCGCTCAGTCAAGCACAGGGCAACGCTAAATACTCCAAACCCTCAAAAATCTGTTTCAAAGTTTCCTATTAAACTGAAAAATCTTGGGGGGGAAAAACAGGAATTGTCTTAAGACATGTTGCAAAGTACAATTATAAATACCAGAACTGTTCAAATAATTTTCATTTAGCTGCACAACACATACAAAAAATGACCAACAGTATATTTTTCAGACACACAAAAACAGTACCATTTAAAAAAATAACCTGGAAAAGTTCAAATTTCAAATCGATGCGCTTACCGACACAAGCTTTTGTTTATCCAGCCACTGTGCTCTGAAAACATGCCGTTTATTCTCCAGATACTTTACATGTTGTGATCAGTTCTCTTTGTCATACTTAACAGAGTTAAACATCCTACATCAAGTGAAGGAATTGATGGTTATCTACCTTTTATCAACATAAATGTTTAAGTGCTGTATTTCTTGCAAAAGGCAGCTGAAAGTAAGAAGCAGTTTCTCTGAGTGGCAATGACTAACTTAAAAGAAAACTAACCTTGGCTGCTTTCAAGAAGACTTAACTGGGAACAATTTTCAAAGTAGGTAAGCCATAGTTCTGCTTTAAAAGTGTCTCTGGACAATAACAGACTGTTTTTGATTTACATTTTTTATTAAATCTGAATCAGGGTGAGTCCACTCTGGTTGTAGTTTAATTGTTTTTTGTTTCTCTGCCCTGCTTTTGCACTCAGCGTGTCGTCCTATTTTTTTTAGGCTCAGTAACTTTTGCGTCCTTTTTAACTGAACACATATTTCACATGCAGGTTAAACCCTATGCCGAATATACATATAGGTTTTATTAAAAATCAAGTCTAGAAGCTGGTTTATAACAAGAGCTCACATCCCTCGTAAAAACCAAGGTTGTACATGTAACGCAACAAATCTGTTTTGAAATCTGACCCTTTAAAAAAAGGGCTCTTTTGCTTGTTAGGAACTCAACAATTGTGCTTCATTGATGCAATACATTCTTCATCAAAAACCACTTTAAACCAACGTTGTCTGAACAAACTCAGTGACATCTACACTACCTATGAGGAGAACACTTTGGATCAGCCCTCCCAAACCCCAAAACTCACACTACAGGAATAAATATGATCTGGCTTTAAATGTACAGGTAACTATATTTTTAACAAAAGAACATGTACATAAATGCACCAGTTGAATGAGTCCTTTCACGAAGATATCCTTTTTGTGTATATGTGTGTTGTTTGACAGTGTTTGTATGAAAAGTTGAGAATTTTTTTTTTTCTTTTTTTTTTTTTAAATGCTTGATGAAAAGTGTTTTTTTCTTCTATAAGTCAGCTATCACAGAAACACATTCTTAGCATTTCTAATTCTACTGAGGCCCAAAACAGCCAGCAGATAACTTCTGACCACAAAGATGGATAATAACGTGTTAAATGCCTTGAAGACCCTCAGTGGGGACACAATAACTTATCTTTTTGTATTGTGGTCATGTTTACTTTGTTGATTATCATTTACATAGTTCAATGTCAGTGAAATAAAAAGACATGCCAGTCCATGGTAACGACGCTTCTGCTCAGGAAAACAAAATTCACAATGTCAAGGCATCCTCTTGTATGTTTTAAATGTGAGTGTGCATGTCAGGAGCGTTGTACTGTATGAGTTTCTCAGGCATAGCATGACTTCACATTCAGGATGTTGATGATTTTAAGAGTTTTCACCTCCAGGTGAAAGCAGAATGTTTTTTGAACCGTCTTCCGGTCTCCAGGTTGGTTTTACAGTTCTCATTGTCTAGCTTGAGCTACCTGCATGTCCAGGTTAGGTTCAGCTAGAGGTCACTAACAAACCTCTTCATCAGTGTTTGTGTAGCAGCCAGGAAGAGAGCTGCTACTGAAGGACGAGGCCAACCTGGAACACAGAGAGCAAACTGTTACTGACAAACAGAATAGAAACAATTTGTAACTGAAGTGTCGGATGTTATGCATGTGTAAATGATTTATGGGGAAGTTGTTCATAAATATCAAAATATCTGTCAGAGCTATTTTACAAAGCAAGGTTTTTTGTGGTAAGCCTAAGGTAACATAAAAAGCTGGCTCTCAACAACTAACTCCTTTGAGAAAAAGAGTCACTTCTATTAATCTATTCTTAGTTTATGGAATATTATATATATGCAAACTTGATGAGTTGTAACATTATATAAGTAATGGCACCAAAATAACATGTGTACATACTGTATGCATGGTGTTGTGTTTCTTTGGCACTACAACCCATATCAGTGATGCAGAAACAATGGTATATCGGAGTTAATAGAATACAGATTAGAGAATTAAAATGTTTTGATCAAATTGATTAAAAAAAGAGTTTTCCACATATCTATAATGGGACAGTCAGACCTAAATGTATTTTGAGGACAATGTTTAAATGTGTTGTATCAAGTTTTGATTTTAAAAGCTGCAGAATTGGCAGTTATCACATTAGAAATAATCAGTTTTGCATTATGCTGTAATATTCTCATTTCCAATATTCTCACAAAAGGCAGAAGTAGGCATTTGTTTATGGTAGAAGAGTCGAATGATGCCCCCCCCCTCATGAGAACACACACAGAGAATAATAAATAAAGCCTGGGTTATCAAAGACAGTTAATACACATCGCCCTGGTAGCCGTTATCGCTGATCAAACTAACTGCTGCTTGCTGATATAAATATTTGTTTTAATATAACTGATATGATCATGAGCTCAGACAAATCCTGCTTCTGACCTTATCAGGGTCCATAGGGGGACATTTCCAGTTGTAGAGGTAATACTGCAGATTTCCATCTCCTATGCCAAACTTGAGCTTCTCCAGGAACACTTTATTCTCCATTAGATCCAGGGCATTGAACACATCAAAACCTTTCTGTTAAACACAAAGAAAGTCACAAACTCAATACCAAAATCAATCACAGAACATCAACAAAGATGATATCCTAAAACTGCAGATTCATTATTTAAGGTCCCTGATGCTGCCCATTTTGTTTGTATTCGCAGCTCTTGACGTTTTATTCATTTTCATAAATGTAAAAAGGTATAAAGGGATAGTTTGTATTTTTCCCGGTGGGGTTGTATGACGTACAGTAGATGGCAATAGACTGATTCAAATGAGCATGAATAAGTACCTCATATAACCCCACTTTATGAAATCCAAACTCTCTCTTTTACAACTCATAGCATCACAGAACTGGTTTATTATTTGGTAGTGTTATATGATTTACAACCATCTACATAGAGTGTAACTTTACCAGTTTGGCCAGGATCAGAGCATCATTCATTAAGTCCAGTAGTGGGGTTTGTGTATGAACGTTGTAAAAAGAGTAGGCAGCCTTCAGGCTCCTGTGTAGAGGGTGATGCATCACGGTGGAGGGCAGAGTGTAGAAACTAGTGAAATCTGTCAGAACACCACCGGCACCCTGAGAACACACAGAGGCACAACGAAGGTTTAGACGTATGTAGGAATCAACAGTAAGTATCTTGAGGGACAGATAGTAATTTCAGATACCTCTACTACAAATGTGTCAATGATGTTGTCCTGTGGCAAGAACCAGTGAGACACCTCCTCGTCTCCCATAGAAGGAGCAAGCTCGAAGCGTTTGAGGAATTTCAGTAGCAGCTCAGTGACTTGGCGGATGTCACGCCTCTCCATCGGCCGCAGACCTGGGGTCTTGGTGCTCTATATAAGGTGTAGAGAGAGTGAAAAAGAAAAACAGACATTAGATCCTGCCATAAATAAGGATATTAAAGATTGATCCAGAGATTTATTATTTTACATCTGGTAGTCTGTAGAGCTTCATGGTTCTTTGCAGAGTCATGTTTCTGCTCAGGTGGGAGAACTTCACTTCCACAAGCTTCCTGGGGTTCAAAGAACGGTGCCAGTACCTGACAGAAAAACAAGCAAAAAATCAAAAGCGTTAAGGACTATTGGTTTCAAAAGAGTTTCTGATGC